AGGACCAGTCCTGCCCAGTACCACGGGCCCCCGGTGTGGGGCAGCCCAGGGCCCCAGAGCGGGGCTGCAGTCACCCCCCCATTCCTGCCAGCCTCAGGGCGACATCACGTAGGCGGTGGCGATGTACTTCTGGCCGTTGCCGTAGGTGGACTTGGTCCAGGCGTAGGTCTGGATGCTGAGGCTGTAGCCGCCCAGGCTCAGGTGACATCTGTGGGGACACAGTCTGTTTCAGCCTTGCTCCATCCCCGGGGTGCTCTCGGTGTCCCCACGCCAGCACTGCTCCATCCCCAGCCGTGATGGGGGGGACGCCAGGCTCGGGGGCCAACCCGGCTTCTGGCCCCACGGCCAGAGGACAGACGGACGGATGCAGACAGGTACGGTACTTACGCCCGCCCAGGACGCGCGATGAAGCACAACGTGTACAGACCAAACTCGAACTCGGGGCTGCAGCCGATGAAGGCAGAGCCCACCTCCTTGTAAAATCCATCCCAGCTGAACTGCAGCCCCAGCACGTCGGGGTAGGTGTCCCACTAGGGAAAGGGGGGGTCAGGGATCAGACCCCTGGCTCTGCTTGGCTCCGGGTGCAGCAGGGCAGGGAATTCGAGCAAAGCCCATCTGCACATGAAGCTGAGCATCCTCACGCCCTCTCCAGGGACAGATCCAGAGCAGCTTCCAGCTGGTCCGAGGGGCCGCCAGACAAAGCCCCCCAAACTCAAATCTCTCGCTTGTGGTTTGGGAGCCCCTTCTGCCCATTACATCCTCTTTTCTGGACCTTCCCACCCTGCCTCCATCCCAGGGTCCACAGATGGAGGCAGAGGGAACATCGCTGATGCTTCTGATTTGCCCGATTTGGGATGCGGCCGGCTGATGCAGCGCCGCTGGCCGCAGACCCCACGGGATCACTTACCGGCCCGTTGAAGTTGTGGCTGAAGTAGTTGACGATGCCCTGCTTTTCAAGGAGGTAGAAGCGAATCCAGTTGTGAAATCCAGACACTTTCCCTTTTTTCACCTCCCCTAAACACAAGCGAGACCCTAGGGTAAGCCCCCCCAGCCTGGCACTGCCTGCCCCCCCCATCCCACCAGCGTGGGCTCTACCTGAGAAGACATGCTCGAAGCCGCTCGAGTCCTGCTCGCCGTCACCTCTGGAGTAGAGGCCGAACCACATCTCCTTCAAATCGGCGACAAACTCCTGCTCAGAGCCGTAGCGATCTGCAGACAAGGCGGCGTGGACGGGTGGGTGCAGCATCCCAGGGTGGGAGCACCGGGAGATGCAGAGCTGGGGCTCCCCCCCCCAGCCCTGAGCTGGTCCTCTCCCTTGGGAGCAATTCGGCTTTGCCTGGCTCAATGCTCTCACGACCTGGCAGCTCTGGTGAGACCATTCCAGTGCTCCTCCAGTCTGCATCCTCCCAGGTCATCATCTCCCACCCAGCCGGGGCTTTCCTTTTGGGTGCCCAACGTGCAGGGACCCCATTTTCCCTGGCCAGCTCTGCCCTGCTCTACACTCACTTTTTTTGTGGAGGAAAGCGAAGAGTTTCTTCATGAGCTCGGTTTTCATCACCTCCTTGAGGAAATTGTCCTGCTCCCTCAGCTCCTCCGCCGTCACGTCCTCCTCCCTGCCAGTCGCCCTCTGGTAGTTGTCCAGCAGTTTAATGAAGCTTGCGTAGGTGGGTTTGGAGAAGAGCTCCTCATTGACGTATTTGTAGAGCCTAGGAGAGAACGGATCCTGCACTCAGCGGGGAAGCAGAGGTCCCCTCCAAAACCAGCCCTGCACCCTGCCTGGCTGGCTGGTCTCTGCTGTGGTGGCCCCTGGCTACTGGTCA